TGTCTGATTGTTTGCTCAAGGAGCTTCCTGAATTGCAGGATACCACTCACAAGTTACAAATAAAAGCAAGGTTCAATTCATTGCTAAAGCAGCTTCCTCAACTACAGGAGACAGCCCTGTTTCAAACTTTGAATCAGCTTCCTCGACTTGCTCAATCAGCTTCCTTTTAACTTCCACAAGCAGCCTCCTCAGCTTGCTCAACCGGCTTCCTCAACTTTGAGAAATTATGGTCTTTTGATTCTTCGTGCAAACAGCTTCCTTCAGCTACATGATAGCTCTTACAGCAAGAAAGACAATTTGGAATTCATGATCAAGCTGCTTCATGCTTGATCAAGTTCCTCCAGATGCTAATCTCGAGGTGTTAGAGAGAGGGTTACACTGCCACAACATTTCAGCGGAGTTTCATAGTGATAACACAGAGCATTAGCAATCATTGAAGCTGAGTTGCATTGCTGTGTTGCAGGAAGGAAAGGCTGCCATTACTCACTGGAAAACAAAATCGGGAATGGTTATTTGCTCTCGAGGAATGGCCGTGAACAGGTCCAGTAGTCTGTCCACATATACCACTTTTCGCCAGACCTGCCACACACAGGCCAACATTCGTTGTACTTCGCACTTCAGAACCCTTGAAGAAAGGCGTCCCGAGTAACATTTACATGAATAGGGACTCACCAACCTGTACTGCTTTTCAAAAAATGTGATTCTTGACAGTTTCCAAGTCCAAAAGACTTGCTAAAATGGTAGCTAAGAGCTCAGTAGTCCGTTTCAACGCCATTCATTGGGTAATGCTATGGAAGAGGATTCATCCATGTCTTGCCATACTCAAATTGTTGCAATATCCCAAACAGTTTTTCGCCCAAGAAACCTTGCTTGGGGTTCGTGGATGTCATGAATTCTGAAATTCTGTCTGTTTGGACCGGGATTTCTGCGATTATGATGAGAATAACTTGCCTATGTGACTATATTGTCATAAGTAATGCTGTTGAAATGATTCCACATGTCTCAGCGTTCAAGTTCCAGTCACAGTTCCGAGGTATGACTGTCCCATGTACCACAGTACCCTCGTTAGCTAGGCAAGTAGGTCTGAGGATTAGGTCCATAAGTGTGGTAGGCCCAGTCCATGCATCAGTCGAGTCAGTCAGTTATTTCAGTCAGTCCAGTCGGGTCAGCAGCTGAGACCCAGGACAGTCCATGGAGTCTTCAGAAGTGTCAAACTCCACCCACAGCCGTCAAGTGCAGGTACCATCCTGAAAGGTTCAAGAATGGGAATTGCAGAGTGGATCAAAGTGCTGCTGTGCAAGGATTAAGGCCGGCAGGTACTGGAGTTGACCGGCAGCAAGCAGTGGAGTGTTGACTGGCAATTGGTGATTAGGGTTGACTGGCAAGAAGAATGGTCAGCAAAGAAGAAGAGGTCAGGAGCGAGAGAAATACTCACTGGAAAATTGCATGGAGCGATTGGAGCGATCAAGAACCTTCATCACTAATGCATGCTCGAATCAACAAGAGCAATGCAGTAGAACCGAAGGACCAGCCAGGCGATGATAAGGACTCCGACATACAACACGACATCAAGGAAGCAATGTGTGTCCATACAATCACAGAATAAAGCAATGTAGCACAGTGGAAGACTCAAAGATATGACCTGATACATCATCGGACTCAGACTCAGCTCACTCATTCATCATCACACATGTCACACTGAAAGGAGGGAGGCATACACAGACGAAAGGTCCCTCCTTGCTCACACACATGGAAAGAAGTCCACGGATGATGAGGAGGGAGGGAAAACGAAAATGGAGTGGGAGAAGGGAGAAACGAAGAAAGTCGCCGTCATCCAAAAATAGTCCCCCATCAAATGTCCATCCAATGTCTGTCCCAAAATGTAGAATCAGATCCTGGGCGCTCAAGGCCCAACAATAGTCCCTGCCTGTAACCTCTCTCTCTCTCTCTCTCTCTCTCTCTCTCTCTCTCTCTCTCTCTCTCTCACTATAAGACAAGAAGAAGAAGTGACTATGGAGGGTCGGAGAAGAAGCAGAAGCAGAAGAGCAGTGACTATGGAGGTCGAAGAAGAATCAGGGAGAAGAAGAAGAAGAAGAATAAGAAGAAGGCTCCTCCTCTCTAGCTCTCTCACACCTGCTGCAATGCTGATGCCCACATGTACTGACCAGCATCGGTGGTGTCTCTCTCTGGTGAAGGTCGCTGGAGGAAGATCCCAGCTATGGCGCCCAGGTAAGTCACACTGCACCTCGCATCTATGGCCCACCAGCCTCCGCTTTCCTCACTACCTCCTACACCTCTACTCTAGCGCAGTGCTCCAAAGTCTGGCGCTGCTCCAGCAGCGTAACACACAACAAGTCGTCCAACTGAATGTCCAGGAAGTGAGGGCTGGCCCAGCTATATACCGGTGGGCCTGAAGGAACAGCCCTCGTTGTGCGATAAGGACCGTCGGATCCAATGTCCGATCGATGGTCCTGGTCGCAGGACTGAATCCTGGCCTATGACCTGGCCTCAAAACGGCTTGCCTGGTTCCCTGCCGGACATCCAGGCAACCCTGAACCCGAACCTCGCCTACCTCGGCCTAAATGTGGTCCCTGGTCTGGACAGACACAGGTCTGTTAGACACTCAGAAAAGTCCGAAACAAAACTGCAAGGAAGATGAGCAATAGCGAACTTCAGCAATCAAACAGCATCATACACATGAGACCAGATAGTCGTGACCTCGAACCAACAGCAGAATTGCATCACAAGTTTCACCAAATAAGAACACACCAAGAGCTCATAATTGACAATGCTGAAATTGTCTCATCATCATCATCAACGAAGAACCAATGTTGATATCCTATCTGGCGCTCGGCGCCCAGACTACAGATGGCAGATGCTATCTAGCCTAGACTACAATTCCAAAGATGGCGTCAACAGATTTCCCGAAGTACGAGCACACAGCGACCAATGTCGCACGCTTCCAGCACCAGGTATGTCTCTCGCCTCACTCACAGCCTCGTTCCCCAACACACAGATGCCACTTGCACCCAAGGACCACCCAGCGCCTCGCCCAGCTCACAGCAGCGCAGCTCGGCTATGGCTGCCTGCTCCTTCCTGCTCGCCCATGCGCGCATGAGTGCCAGCCAGCTTCAGCGCAGCATGCAGCCAGCACCCGAATGCCAAATGCGGAGGCGGGCCCTTTGCTATATAGAAGTGGCCTGCCTGAGTTCTGTCCCAGGCTGCGCTGGGCCTTTCCCAAGAAGCTTCCGTTAGCCCCCGGTAGGCTGAGGCCCAGCCTGAAACAGATCAGGCCTAGGGCCTGAGGTGGTTGCTTGCGCCCAACTGCCTTCGGCCTGTGTTTGGCCCATACCCCGTATCCAGCCCAGGGCCTGCTTTTGATACATGCAAATAGGCGGCCCAGGGCCTGGGTTCTTTCAACCAACTGGCGCTGCGCAACTGCCTGAATTTCCTTAGTTGCGCGGTGGCCGAAATAGAGGCCCTGAGGTCCTCGTCGAGCCTGTCTTCACTTAGGGCGGTCGATGTGCTGCTGAAAAGGGCCTGAAAGGGGCTCAGCGAGGTTGTGGCCTCACATTCCCTCCTCCATAGCTTCAACAGTCCTCTGAGAAGCTCAGTCTTCAATCATCGGGCGCTTTCCCTTCTGCAGAGATCTCTCATAGTGGGCCACAACTTGTGGAGCAGTCCGCATGAGTTCCCCCCTGGTGAACCAGCAGTCCTTCGGATCAGTATGATGCCGGAACCGAACACGATACTGCAGCTTCGGTTTCGGAGGACGTCCCCTGCCTGTTGGTCTTGGAACTGGCAGCTCCCTGTGGTCCACGATATCATCGATATCCACCTCTCCGTCCATGGTTGGGGGCAGCATTGAGCGACGAGAAGTGAAAGGTGCAAGTTTGGAGGCGTGAAAAACAGGATAAGTTCGGAGATGACCAGGGATCCGGAGTACATAAGACGGCCCATCCGGATCTGTCCCGACAATGTCTAAGACCTACCGTGGCCCAAAGTACTGGGGCATGAGCTTGCGGGAAATCCCGTGCTCCTGTCCCAGTGCTGAGGACTTAACCCAGACTCTGTCCCCAACCTGAAATGTAGAAGGGCGGCGATGTTTGTTCTCAGATTCTATCATCGCCGCCTGAGCTTTCTGTATTTGCTCCACTGCCTGCTGCATCTTCTGCTCATATCGGTATGCAAATTCTGAAGTATCGGGTGCAGCAGTTGTCTGATTTTCAGGTAGTAAGAAGTCTAGAGGTAGTCTAGGTTTGAATGTCAGTAACAGACTGTTAGGGCTCACTCCGGTGGCGCTGTGAACAGCATTGTTATACAGACTGGCGATGAGAGCAAGCTTCTCGTCCCATTCGACCTGATTGGGCTTGATGTAATGCCGCAACAAGTGTTGGACAGCGCAATTGTTCGGCCTGGCGATTGGCCTCGGGGTGATTACCCGAAGTCATCTGCAGCTGCGTTCCCTGTTCGGCAGCAGCAGCCTTCCACAACTCCCTTGTGAATCTGCCATCCCTGTCATTCACAAATGACTTGGGTAGACCAAAGTCTCTTACCCAGTTCTCTCTGAACAGTCTGATAACATACTCGGTTTTTGTTGTTTCCGGCATGGCTATCAACCTAGCATACTTACTAAATCTGTCCACGATGACAAAGATATGTCTCATCCCGCTCTTGCTGGTGACCAACGTATCCATTAAGTCCATGGACAGGCTCTCACCAGGTCCTTCCGGAATCAGAAGGGGCTTCAGGAGCCCAAGAGGAGCCTGAGTACGTGGCTTGTCTCTCTGACAAACCTGACAAGTCTCCACGTATAGCTGGGCATCTCTCATCATCGTGGGCCACCAGAACTGCTGCAACAAACTGGCTGCAGTCTTCTTGAAACCAAAATGGCCGGTGGCATCATGACACTCACCTAAAAATAAACTACGCAAAGACTCTCTATTTGGGACACACAATCGTTTATTCCCTGCCTTTTCAAGGAACAGCAAGCCACTGACCAACTCAAACTCGCAGCAGTCTTCTTGTCCTTTGCCTCAAGTCTGAGAATGATCTTAGACATGAACTGGTCCTCGCGATAGGCTTCCACCAAAGACTGAGTAACATTGTCCGCAAGATTGAACTCAATAATCAGCGCACCTGAGAAATCAGGTCTACGCGACAGCGCATCAGCAACCTTGTTGTACTCGCCCTTGATGTACTGGGGCTCGAAGTCATACTGCTCTATGACTTCAATCCAACGCTTCAGAGCGTCGGAGAGYACAGGTTGGGTTCTCATCYACTTCAGGGTMKGATGATCAGTCCTGACGYAGAAGAACCTCCCAAGGAGATAGTGTCTCCAATGGGTGAGCGCCTTGTATATCGCATAGAGTTCCTTCTCATAGGTGGACTTAGCCAACTTCTGAGAMGACATTTTCTTGGACATGTACTCAACTGGCCTCAACTTTTTCCCCTCCTGTTGTGCAAGAACGGCGCCTATGCCATATTGGCTAGCATCCGTTGTCACTACAAATGGCTTGTCAGGATCAGGAAGTTTCAAGACCTCATGATGCGTGAACACGTGCTTCAGATGTCTGAAAGCAGCCTCACATCTGTCAGTCCATTCCCATGGGGTGTCAAGGCGCGTCAGATCAGTCAAAGGGGCGGCAACTATGCTATAGTTCTTCACGAAGTTGCGATAATAGCCAGTCATCCCTAAGAAAGATCTCATCTCAGTCACAGACTGAGGACGCGGCCAATCACGAATGCTGACCACCTTCACGTCATCGGGCTTTAATCCCTCCGCGGAAATCTCATGACCGAAGTACAAGACACGGGTGCGGCCAAACTCGCACTTCTCCTCGTTAATCTTGAACTTGTGCTGCGCAGAAGACAAAGGACTTTGTCCAAGTGCGCAATGTGCTCCTCAACAGTCTTACTAAAAATAAATATGTCATCGAGGTACACGATGACAAACTTATCCAAGTAGTCGTGAAATATCCGATTCATAACGTGCTGAAAGGTGCCAGGAGCATTGCAAAGGCCGAAAGGCATCACCACAAACTCGTACAGACCGTACCTGGTCTGAAAGGCGGTTTTGTGTTGATCCTCGGGCTGGATTGCAATCTGATGGTACCCAGACTTCAGATCTATCTTACTGAAGTACCGACACCCTTGCACTCTATCTAGCAAATCGTCGATGCGAGGTAGGGGCTCTATGTTCTTGATAGTGATGGCATTGAGGCCCCTATAGTCAATGCACATCCTAAGTGTTCCTTCCTTCTTGGGTACGAATAGAACTGGAGACCCATAAGGAGAAACACTCGGTCGGATCCACCCCTTTTCTATGAGTTCCTTAAGTTGCCAGCGAAGCTCATCGAGCTCGCCTGGAGACATCCGATAGATTATACCCTTTGGGATACCAGACCCAGGGATGATCTCTATCGCGTGGACGACCTCCCTCTCAACAACCCCTGTTGGCTCTTCAAATAGATCAGGGTACTTAGCGACTACTCCCTCTATCTCCGACGGCATTTTCACCGGCTCGCCTGCAGCAGAGACATAAACTAGATACATACCCTCCTCCTCATTTTGCTTATAATAATTGTAGAACGCGGCCGCACACATGCATCCATGGGACTCAATCAGACTACTAGCTTTAAACTTATGTAATCTGGTGGTCCCCCCACCTGGCAAAGTGTGTTTGACCACTTTTCGGTCCCGGTCAAACTGGGTTGTGCCACGGAGAGGTAGTACATACCTAACAACATATCCATGGGGAGTTCATCACTTACTAGGAACGAGACGCGATGTCTCAATTCCCCTCCCGCGTATGGGAAACAACATTCAACATCTTGGAGGTAGTCGTTGACTACCATGCGCTGTTTGTTGGCACAGGTCGACTCTACATGTCGACTCAGGCGCTGCACTTGCCCCTGTACGAGCAACCTCTCAAGGCACGCGCGACTAATGACGTTCCTAGTCAAGCAAGTGTCATAATAGGCCCCGGCCTTGCGGCCGCCAATGACCACCTCGCTGACGAACATCTCACCCTTCGGGGCTTTGACCAATGCCGTCCAAGAAGCTAGTGGGTCTGATCTAGACTACTCCTCCTCTAGGTCCTCTAAGGACTCAAACACATTCATCGAACAAAGGCTCGATGGGTCTGAATGTGTTTGCGGGACACCGCTGGAGTCAGTAACTTGGGCCATCTCTCGAGATGGTGAGAGTGTGTCCACCACCTCGACCCTAGCAGGAACTACTATTCCTACTGGCCCGACGTGTTTCCCGGAGTAGTGCCAGAAGTACTGGCTACATTGCTACCGACGGGATGGGAGGATCCCAACGCCTGCCCCATTGTAGGCGGGATCTTCTCGGTCACCTTCTTATTACGGCACTTGAATTGGTTATGGCCGTATTGACCACAACGAATGCAAGCTTGCCGTGTATACCGATCTCTCCACACGTCCTCTGTGAGACCCGCCTTCTCCCATTGGGGAGCGTTGGGGTCAACTTGACTCCTTGACCGGGAGCCTCCACGGTGTCTACCAGTCGCCTTACCTTTTTGAGCTACGACAGCGACAACTCTACCCGCTGAAGCTTCAATGCTGCCAGCCTCTGAACCTACTCCCTCTTGGAAGTTGTCATCTAACTTGATGGTTGAACCATCGTTATCGACAAACATAATGCGACCCTTCGCCTTCCAGTTGGGAGGCAGTGACTTTCTCCTACCATCCGTAGTGGGTGCCTGCCCATGCCCTATCTTCGCCTCAAGGTCTAGGGCCTTCTTGCTAAACGAGGGGAAGTTGTGAACATTGATGTTGGCCTCACCTGCCAACTGATTCCTGAGAGGCATAAGAAATCATCTCAGGTAGGAGGTGAGTAAAACCTGGGGGTCATAGCGCACCCCAGGTACAGAAATTAGACGCTCTACGGCGTCGGTGGCCTCCCTCACTGACTTGAACTACCTCATGTGCAGTGTCAGGTTTGCATCAGTGGCCTTTTGGGCCTCCCGGGATCATGCCACCTTTCTTCCACCAACTTGAGGAAGTCGTCCATTTTCTGGGTGACCGCCCAAGCGCGAAAGTCATGACGGTATCCCTGTAGCTGTACTAAACCACTCAACCATCTTGCTGCGCTACCCTCTAGGTAAGATGCAGCCACAAGCACTTCCTCGTGCGGCAAGGTGAGTTTACACTTGACATAGACTGGCACTGCCCTCAACCAAGTGTCAAGGTCTTCGCCCCTCTTATCCCCTGTGAAGGATTTAGGAGCGGCGATGGTCGTCTTTGGTACCCACTGGGTTTGTCTCGGTCCCTGCATCCCACTGGGCTGTGGACCCTTAGATGCAGGCGACTGCACGGGCTGCAGGGGTTGTGTACCTTGCGGCTGTACAGGCTGCGAGACAGCAGGTTGCGTTGTAACTGCAATTTGCAATGGAGGTTGGGAATACACTGGCTGTACAGGAACCTGCAAACTAGGACCTACTGAGAGCCCTCCTAATAATGGCATACCCAGGGAAACGGTCTGGACCGATGCTGGAGCTGTATATGGGGATACCCCAGTCACCGGTGGAACAAAAGGAGGAGGATGTACAACGGGCCAAGCACTTGGCCCGGACGGTGATTGTGTCGCCTGCATTCGCCCGACTAACACAACCAGACTCTGTTGGATGTCCTGTAAGATCTCCGTCTGGTGATCCTGCATCTCTACCACACTTAACAGGACCGACCGTATGGTTCTCACATCATCATCCATCTCTGTTGGGTCCATCTCCTCTAACTCACTAACGTCCTCTTGCCTCCGTTGCATCCTGGCTCTTCTCTTAATCATTCTCTCTTTCTCAGCCTTAATCTCTCCCAAAGCCTGCTGCAGCTGTGCCTCGCGATCAGCTGCTCGCTATATGGTGATCTCCTCGGGAGGCATCACAAGAGGTTGGCTTGCCATTACGCCAATGGACTGACTCAAAGCCTGCGCCACCGTCGACCCTATAAAGCTTGTTGACCCTACAAAGTCGGTAGACCCTGCAAAGCTTGTTGACCCTGCAGATCCTGAACTACCTACCTGAGAAGTCTGCTGCACAGAGGTAGCCATTGCTTCCAAAGATGCGGCTTCACTTAGGAGCGCCCTGCTAGCCTCCGCTGTTCTAGCCCTCCTCTGCTGCTGCTGCCTCTCTCTAAGTTGGTAGAACAGATGTCGGTCGCCCTCTGGTCCTAAAACCAAGTGGGCGATCGGACGTCTACGTGAGCGCAAGGGCCGGTCGTCCGGTTGTGGAACCTCTCTATCACTCATAAGCTTCAACACTATACACTGTCTGCACTAGGGCACTCTAAATGCCTACCGCAGCATAGTGCACATACCAATTTATTAATTGGTGGCTATGTCAGAGACCGTACACTCGAGCCCAACAGGTAAGCCAGATTCCTACAAACGAAACTATTTTTAGTTCAATTACTCCGCGAACAGAATGCACAATGAACGGGAACAATTCTAATTATGTTGTCTGTCAGATGTCAAATGGTTGTACATCTAACTAATCAAAACATAAAAATAGAATCATTTGTGTGGATGAGGACAGTATGGAATTTTTCTCAAACTTATCACCTGAAATCTACCCCTCCCTTAGTTCCCCTGGATGTCACTTGACGTCAACGTCCCTGAGCTATCCAGAGAGCAGTGTGTGACTAAAGGTGTGCACGGCCCACCCCTGTGCCCCGAGTAGCTGCTGAGCCGGCCAGCCCTGCACTGTGTTTATCCTCGTGTGCACAAGCCTTACAACCATTGACTGATCCAGAGGCAATTTAACGACTGCCCCTAAGTGTCATCATGAATTATTTTACGTCGCAGCAGGACGACGATCACAACCAATGGTTTCCCCTTCCGGTGTTTATTTAAAGACGCCCGGTCTCGTCTCTCACATAGGGTTGTCCTGCCCTTCAGTACCCATCGAACAGCGCAGCGAGCCGAACAAAGGACAAGCAACAAAGCATGCGTGCTCTACTCCCGGTGGGTTGGCATGGTGACCGTGACCCAGTGCTTCGTCCAGGGCCCTTCAGAAAGCTCCACCCATCTTCTCCCAGATGCTCCACGTGAACATTGTCGACTCTCAAGGTTGAGCGCACTCGACACCTCACAATGAGACTCTCAAGAAGGAACACACAACCTCACGGTAAGAAGTGTCGAAGAGGGTAGATAAGGTTAACCACAGAGATAATCTCACCAGATGACCAGACGCCGATTGTGATGACCAGCCATTGCTTCGGCACAACCAGCATTGCACGCCGTTCCATCTCAGCACGAATCGCACATCAGATAGTTCTCATCACACTGTCCAGAACCCACATTACACCACTTGGCCTTCCTGGTGATCCCCTCACCTCTTGGGTCGCCACTTACTTGTCTACGCCCTCCTCACTACACACCACTTACGACCCAACTCACCAAGCAGACCTCATGTATGTACCACATTAGGCAGAAGACAAGCGCCAGATGAGCGCAATCGTACCACAGCTCCGATACCAAATTGCAAGGAAGATGAGCAATAGCGAACTTCAGCAACCAAACAACATCATACACATAAGACCAGATAGTCGTGACCTCGAACCAACAGCAGAATTACATCACAAGTTTCACCAAATAAGAACACACCAAGAGCTCATAATTGACACTGTTGAAATTGTCTCATCATCATCATCAACGAAGAACCAATGTTGATATCCTATCTGGCGCTGGGCACCCAGACTACAGATGGCAGATCCTATCTAGCCTAGACTACAATGCCGAAGATGACGTCAACAACTTTCCCGAAGTACGAGCACACAGCGACCAATGTCGCACGCTTCCAGCACCAGGTATGTCTCTCGCCTCACTCACAACCTCGTTCCCCAACACACAGATGCCACTTGCACCCAAGGACCACCCTGCACCTCACCCAGCTCACAACAGCGCAGCTCGGCTATGGTTGCCTGCTCCTTCCTGCTCGCCCGTGAGCGCGTGAGTGCCAGCCAGCTTCAGCGCAGCAGCGCTTGCGCAGCATGCAGCCAACACCCGAATGCCAAATGCGGAGGCAGACCCTTTGCTATATGGAAGTGGCCTGCCTGCGTTCTGTCCCAGGCTGCGCTGGGCCTTTCCCAAGAAGCTTCCGGTAGGCCCCGGTAGGCTGAGGCCCAACCAGAAACAGATCAGGCCTAGGGCCTGAGGTGGTTGCTTGTGCCAAACTGCCTTCGGCCTGTGTTTGGCCCATACCCCGTATCCAGCCCAGGGCCTGCTTTTGATACATGCAAATAGGCGGCCCAGGGTGTGGGTTCTCTCAGCCAACTGATGCTGCGCAACTGCTTGAATTTCCTTAGTTGCGCAGTGGCTGAAATAGAGGCCCTGAGGTCCTCGTCGAGCCTGCCTTCACTTAGGGCGGCCGACGTGCTGCTGAAAGGGCCTGAAAGGGGCTCAGCGAGGCTGTGGCCTCACAAAACATTTGGGAAGGACAAAAATGGACCAGACAAAGACTCGGCAAAATAGATACATGAATGAATCAGTAATAAATGCTGAGAAAAAAAGGAACACGCGTGAAACAGAATGAGTGCCTGGTCTACAACACGGTCGTGGGCCTCACACAACCCAAAGTGGGTGTGCGGCTTGGTGGGCCCCAACAACCGTCGGGCCCCTGAAGAGGGGCCCGTGCACAGGCCTCCGCATGCTGGCCCCCCCCCTCGCTGACGATCCGAAGGTCGAACCTGATCGCGGGTGCGCCGTGGAGCCGAAGGTGTTGTCTTAGCTTGCTGCTTGTGCTCATATCCTGCAATGACATGAGGAGCCGTGGCCTGAAGTTCCACACGGGTCAACCATCGGTCAGCCCTATGGGTGCAATAGGCAATATGCACCAAGTACTCGATCGGCTTGTTACCGTAGCGCCGCTGCGAAAGAATGTTGTTGACCTCCTCAAAACCATCCATGGGTATGACAGGCTATTACCGCAATTTCGTGAAGAACTATAGCATCGTGGTTGCACCCTTGTCGGATCTCACACGCCTTGACACCCCGTAGGAGTGGACAGACAGGTGTGAAGCTGCCTTTAAGCACTTGAATCATGCTCTCACTCACCATGAGCTCTTGAAGCTGCCCGATCCTGACAAACCGTTCATTGTGACTATGGATGCCAACCAATATGGCATTGGCGCTGTACTTGTGCAGCAGGAGGGGAAAAAGTTGAGGTTCCTAGAGTACATGTCCAAAACGATGCCCTCTCAGAAGTTGGCCAAGTCCACCTACGAGAAGGAACTCTACGCGATCTACAAAGCACTGACTCATCGGAGGCACTACCTCCTTGGGCGATTCTTCTACGTCAGGACTTATCATCAGACCCTAAGTTGGATAAGGACCCAACCAGTACTCTCTGATGCTTTGAAATGCTGGATTGAAGTCATAGAACAGTATGACTTTGAGCCCTAGTATATGAAAGGAGAATACAACAAGGTTGCTGATGCGCTATCACGAAGCCAGACTTCCTTGGTGCGCTGATTACTGAGTTCGGGCTTGCGAACGATGTAACTCGAACATTGAAGGAAGCCTATCAAGAGCATCCGTTCGTGGTAGAGATCAGACGCAGACTCGTGGCAAAGGATAATATCACCTCTGATGAGTTTTTGTTGGTCGATGGCCTGCTGTTCCTCGAGAAGGCATGGAATAAACGTCTTTGTGTTCCCAGTAGAGAGTCTTTGCGTAGTTTGTTTTTAGGAGAACCATTGGACGATGACAAAAACATTTTGCGAAACACCCCAGCCATTAGTTGGACCCCATCTTTGCAATGTACTCCTACCGGACGCTGCCCAACTTTGCGAACTGCAAAAGGCCAAGCGAATTTGCACACCCGCCTAACAGGGGCATAACACAAATATGTCAATCCAAAAGGCCATGCCAGGTGGTTTTCAGGGACCTTTCAAGGTTAACAGTCGTATTTTTCATCACCACTTCAGGACACCCTTCACCACTTCAGGATGCAGCCTGCCTAAACAGGTGGTTTTCAGGGTCTTTGGACCTTTCACCACTTCAGGACACCCTTCACCACTTCAGGATGCTACCTGCCTAAACATGTGGTTTTCAGGGTCTTCGGACCTTTCACCACTTCAGGACCATTCAGGATTTTCGGACTGCCCAAAACTCTCACTTCACCACTTCAAGATGCAGTCTGCCTAAACAGGTGGTTTTCAGGGTCTTTGGACTTTTCACCACTTCATGACCATTCAGGATTTTCAGACTGCCCAAAACTCTCACTTCAGAATTTTCATTCCTGAATTTTCAGCTACCTGTGAACTACTTGTGATCTTTTAGGGACATTTCAACATAGATCTGAACTTATGGGGGTATTTGGAAAATCCCCCCCCTCCCCCCAAGAAAAGGAGTCTCTCTCTCTCTCTCTCTCTCTCTCTCTCTCTCTCTCTCTCTCTCTCTCTCTCTCTCTCTCTCGCACACCTCCTCCCCCTTATGCAACCTTGCAACTTGGCGCTGGGACGGGTGCTTCCGGGGCCCTCAGAAGGCCTACTTGACCACCCTCAGTCCAGGCCGAACAAGGGCAGAAAAACCTTCATGAAATCAGGGTTTGGGCGTGTGACAATTGATTTGGGTCAACTGTCGGTCCACCCAACAGTCCAAGTCCAAAGGTACCTAGCCCAGGCCGCAGGTCAAGCACACACACTTGTTTGTACGCAGGTACCCAAACAACATCAGGTCCAAGGGAGAAGTCTACAACTGCACAATCCGGGCCTTCAGCTGTGAGTCAATCTAGACGACTGAGGGGAAATACACCGAGGCCAGATAGCCTCGCTGACTGTTACTTAAGGCTGGCCTCGAGCGAGTCAAGCATTCAATCTTGCTATGCTGCTATGACGCTGGCTCGACTTTGACAACGCTGGCTTCATGTTGGTTCTGCACACGCGTTGCGGACGACGGCACAAGGTGGA